GAAATACACCAAGAAATCTGGAAAAAATAGAGGAATTCGCTGAATTAGGTTCGGGTTGGAAGTTTGAAATGATCAAAGAAATATTGTTTCACACGATGAAATATAACGCATTACGAGGTAGTTCATACATCGACCTGCCACCAAAAATAAAAAGTAAAAGATGTTGTATAAACATCAAAAACGTAGATAACAAGTGTTTCCAATGGGCTGTTCTTTCCGCACTATTTCCAGCAGAAAAACACGCTGATCGCGTTGAAAAATATATCAGTCATGTGTCTAGATTAAATTTTAAAGATATTAACTTTCCTGTGGCAGAAAATCAAATACCAAAATTTGAAAAGCAAACTAATGTTTCAATTAACGTTTTCGGACTAGATGAAAAAGAGGATGTATACCCGAGATATATTTCAGAAAAAGCTTCACAATCGACTATAAATTTACTGTTTTACAAAAATCATTACGTTTGGATTAAAAACTTTAACGGACTAGTTGGTAAACAGTACAATAAAAATAGGAACAAAAAGTTCTTTTGTTACCGCTGCTTGCATGGTTGTACTAACAATGAAACATTACAAAAGCATTTGCAGTACTGTAATGATGTGCAAAGAATAACAATGCCATCTAGAAAAGATAGTGTGTTACAGTTTGTCCATCATAATCACAAACTAAAAATTCCTTTCGTTATATACGCTGATTTTGAGTGTTTACTTCAACCTGTACTTGGCGTAGAAAATAATCCTAATCAATCGAGTACAAGAAAAGTTCAAAATCATGTTCCGTGTGGAGTAGCGTACAAGGTAGTTTGTTGTACTGATTCTAGATTATCTAAACCAATTAAATTATATCGTTTTAAAAATCCAGATGTTTGGCTTCTCAAGCAGTTGATTAACGAAGTTGATAATATATTTACTCGTTTGAAAAAAGTAACGCCAATGTTAAAATTAACTCCTCAACAAGAATCCAATCACGAGCAAGCAGAAATTTGTCATATTTGTGAAAAAGCTTTTGATACTGACAACAAGAAAGTACATGACCATTGCCATTTGACTGGACAGTATCGTGGAACGGCTCATAATCAGTGTAATTTAAAATTTCATGCTCCCGATTTTATTCCGGTTATTCTTCACAATTTTCGAGGATATGATAGTCATATTATAGTAGAAGCTTTTGGTGATCCTGATATAAAATCTCGTCTAAAACTCGATAACGTCATCAAATGCATCCCAAATAATTTTGAAAAGTACATGTCAGTTACGCTAGGTAAACTGCGTTTTATTGACAGCCTGCAGTTTATGGCAGCCTCGTTAGATGAGCTAGTAAAAGGTTGTAGTAAATTTGATAACCTAAGAGACTGTTTTGGAGATAAATTTAATCTACTAGCTAAAAAAGGAGTTTTTCCATACGAATACCTCGACGACTGGAGTAAATGTGATGAAACATCTTTACCTGGCAAAGATAAATTTTACTCACAACTTAAAAATGAAAATATAACTGATGATGAGTACAGGTATGCACAAGATATCTGGAAAGAGTTTGATTGTGAGACGTTTGGTGATTATCATGATTTGTATTTGAAAACTGACGTGTTATTATTAGCAGATGTTTTTGAAAGTTTTCGTGAAGTGAGTTATAATAATTACGGACTAGATCCTTGCTGGTATTATTCTGCCTCTGGACTGTCATGGGATGCTCTGCTAAAGTTTAGTAAGGTAAGGTTGGAATTACTGACTGATGTTGATATGTTCAATTTTATTGAAAAAGGTATCCGAGGCGGTATTAGCGTGATAACAAAAAAGTTTGCTGAAGCAAACAACAAATATTTGAAACTGTATAACCCTGACCTTCTTTCGAAGTATATAGTTTATCTAGATTGTAATAACTTGTACGGGTATTCGATGGCAGAACCAATGCCTCTTGGTGGATTTCATTGGATCACGGCTGATCGATTTCTATCGAAGACAGAAAAAAAGATACCCGAAAATGTTTCCTATTTCGTTGAAGTTGATCTTGATTATCCAAATTCGCTACACAAATTACATAACGATTACCCTTTCTGTGCGGAATCGATGGTCATATATTATAGTTTGTTATCAAAAGAACAACAAGCGTTAGCATCACCAAGGCAACATTCCATGGTCAAGAAACTAGTACCAAATTTACTTGATAAGAAAAATTACGTTTTGCATTACAAAGTTTTAAAACAAGCAGTCGATGCTGGTCTTGTGTTGATAAATGTTCATCGTGTACTAAAATTTAATCAGTCGCCGTGGATGAGAGGTTATATTAACTCAAACACTTCAAGAAGGGCTGCAGCGAAAACAGAGTTTGAAAAAAAACTTCTTTAAACTGATGAACAATTCCGTTTTTGGTAAGACGATGGAGAATATTAGGAAACGTGTAAATATCGAAATAGTTAATGATGTCAATCGCAGAAACAAACTTGTGTCAGACGATGATTTTGTGAGCATGAAAATATTTAATGAAAATGTTGTTGCAATACAAAGAAGAAAAGTAAATCTAAAACTAAACAAGCCGATCTATGTTGGAGCTGCAGTGTTAGATTTATCAAAGTGGCTGATGTACGATTTTCATTACACTTTTCTTAAAAATCAGTGGCCGGCTAGTAGGTTATTGTTTACTGATACTGATTCGCTCGTATATGAAATCGAATGTGAGGACATCTATCAGGACATGTACAATAATCGACATCTGTTTGATCTTTCCGATTATCCACGTGACAGTAAATTTCATGACGACACAAATAAAAAGGTTTTTGGTAAGTTTAAAGATGAAATGAACTCAAGCGCTATTAAATACTTTATCGGATTACGTAGTAAAATGTATGCCGTATTATTGGACAATAATAAAATAACGAAAAAAGCAAAAGGTCTGCCTCGTGATTTTGTTAGAAAGTTTATGAAATTTGATGACTACAGGTATGCGCTTGATGGCGGTGTTAGTTTTATGAGAGCTATGGCAATTCGAACTAATCATCATAAACTCGAAACAGATGTCATTATCAAACGTGGATTGTATAATTTTGATGACAAACGCTATTGTAAAAATGGGGTAGATACATTTGCCCTTGGGTATTGTCATGATGATAGATCTATACTCGACATTATCTTTTCCAACTGAAATTTTATCTAAACTTATAAAATAATGTTTGAAAATTTGACAATGACAAATAGCTACAATAGTAACATCAAATATCTAATGATGGACGGTAAACAATTGACAGTTGAATTTAATAATGAAACATCAGGTATATGTTTTAATGGAACACGTGACAAGTTAAAACTTTCGCTCATCAGATCTGATAACGGCATGTATTTCAATTATCTCGAACAATTGTATCAAAAGTTGCTAGCGAAATTTAAAAACTTTCACAGCCCCATTAGCCAACAAAACTATACTAAACTCACAATTGATCTCGATCGGTCAAAGGTATATTTTATCAACAAAAAATATCTTCTGAACAAACCAGAAATGAAAGATTTGTTTGAGTCCCATCGCTGTGTGAGCGGTAAAGTAAAATTTAGTATCTATAGTCGTGATAGTGAAGTATTTTTAATATCAACAGTTGAAACATTAATCATTGGTAACGAGATATAAAATAATATCATTTTCATTCTAATGCTAGTTTAATTTCCGCCTTGTTATCTGAAACGTTCTAATGCATAGTTTAATTTTCATCCTGTTATCTGATAAAAAATTTGTGGTAAAACCTATTTGCTATCTTTAGAATAATCGTATTCCACACATGCGCTGTTCTAAAAAATTCATCACTTCTGTTGACAGAGCTTATCGCATTCCAACACCTGTTGTTTTGTCTGGTTACAAAATATCTGTCTACATAGTAGTAGTATAGGGAAATGAGGGGTTTGGCGGGGGTGGGGAGGAGGTGTGTGTGGGGGCCAAAACCCTCATTTTCCTATACTACTGATCCTGTGAGTTTCTTTGAAATAGCTATGTTGTAATAATACCAGTCATATTTGGATGCTGATTGAAATCATGTGCAGAGACTTGAACAGTGTTTATACAAAGATCTTATAAATCAGATGCATAATGTGACATAGTGTGTATTTCATTGCAAGATAACTTGCTTCTACATTTGATCAGTACTATACTATATCGACAACAATCATAATTGTATGCCACTCCATTAAGATGCAGAAGTTCGTGCGCTGAAAAACCGTAGTTTTCACGAATAGTATCTTCCGGACCGAATAACGTAGCAGGAGACCTATACAACAGACAAGAACTTGAATTTTAAATTTATGCAAGTATAATGTATCATGCCATTGGTAAGAGTAGTGGAACAAAATGGTAAGGATGACATAATGATATAGTACATTGTGCGGACACAACTGCGTCATCTTAATGCACCGAAAAACAGCAACATATTCAAGACCAAAAATTTACCGACGCTGTTTTAATAACGTGATTGCAAGTGTTAAATATTTGACAGAAACTAACATCAACATGTACATGCATCATATTGGCAGCATAAGGAGCCACACAATAACAAAACTCGAAAGACTGAGGAAAAAGTATTGGAGGAAGTGACAGATGATCCGACTGAAAAAGTACAAACATTCGAGGAACTTGTTGCCGAGTGGGTCGGAGATCTTTTTGAAGAATACAAACAACTGGCTGCGAACAAAGCTGCAAAGGCAGATAAATGTGCAAAAGCTAAGTCATTGTCGAAGAATGATTATAAACAACTAAGCAAAAGCAAGAAAGAAATTTGCCGACGTAAAGATACTTCTCAGTAAGTGTGTGTTTTTGGATTTTTAACTTATCTTTAGCAATTTTTCCGTCATCGCTACGATGTATGTAGTGTGGCAGTTTATTGCCATATTTAGCACCGGTGCATCATCCCGTAGGCATGAAGCATCATGTCCCGCCCAATTACATTATCCTGACACCAATCTTAACACTAACTCTTGATGTTTAGCACTAAGACAGCGGTCTGTATCAATTTTATGTCTTTTGTATGAGTCAGTCTGGATTTGAACCCTCCACCACCCGCATCCGAGGCGGACGCTCTAACCAATTTAGCCACCGAAGTGGTTTATTCAGTAAGAAAGATGGAAAAAGTAACAGAGTTAAGAGATTGTTAGCAGAGGAGGCTAGTGATCTTGGAGCTCGAGATCAATATCACTAGGTTTCAGCCTAAGGTAGGTGCTCGCATCAAATACTACAACAATAAATCTGAACTTATCATGCGACTAAAACCGACAGCGTAAGAAAATTGGCAATGTTGACAAAGAAGTTGACATCGAAATACGAAATCATTTACTTTAACAAACTTTACCTGGTAATACTGAATGCAACATTTTGTACAATTACCTAATATAGCCATGTCATAAACTCTTCTGCGACTAAGCTTTCCCATGGAAACCGGTAATTATACCGTGAGAGAGAATACACCAACAGAACTACAACTTAGGATACGAGCTGTGAGATCAGGCTTTACTTCTGCTGAAATTTGGGATTCTTTTCATAATGTTACAGAAAGCAACAACAAATTTAGCTGTTTTGCTCCTGGCGCTATAATATTGACAACATTTTGAAACAAATAATTATACACTGACAAGAATAATTATCAAACCTGGCTAATATATTAATTTTACTCTCAATGACAGTATTTTGTCTTTTCTGACATATTATAGTAAGCAGTACGCACGATCGTGACTTTTCAGTCAAAGTTAGCGAAGTAAACAGTTTGCTGGTAAATTGTTCTGCAGCTGAAGGATCATACGATCCACATAGCCGACCATCATTATGTTATTTACAGCTTAAGTTCAAATACTCCAAAAAGATTTCTGTCTGATGAAAGCAAGCGTTCATCACTGATTTATTACATATATCTTGTAAATAAGGTCTATTTCATACCTTAAGTTGCTGTACCAATTACAGATCAATCAGAAACATCATTAGTTTTATATAAAACAATCGAGCACATACCATTTTGCCTGCATTTGTGAGCACAAGACACAATTTAATATTCTTATATTATGAAACAAGGAATCCTGCAGAAATGTTTCCTGGGGGCGACAAGTGCCCCCACCCCTCGCCTTACCTCTATATGCGGGCACCAATGTTATGCATCAAATACGAATGAATTACGAGAGAAACATTGGATGTTTTAGATCGATATGTGGAAGGATGGCCATCGTGGTGCCTGACATTTCAAGAAACATTGGTTCTCAATGTTTTACAAAGGGCGCTGCATAGTCGCAGGAAAAAAGATGATAAAGAAAATGTATGCTAGTAGAGATCAAACAAGCCATCAGAGCAAATTACGCGTCCGCAAGAGGCTGGTTGTGTGTTGGCAACAGTAGTCGAAAACAATGTTATCTAAGCATGTTGAAGGAAGTTAGAAAGAGTTACATGCACGAACACTAAGCCATATATCACTATTATCAAATGTCATGACAGGATCTCGTCTACAACGATATTTTGTTTACATTGGAGGACAATCATGTTGTCAAGATTTACTCCTGAATATTTTAAGCTCATTTACATGTCTCATATTGACAAGTATACAAAAAATATGAATATATGGCTGACATGGACAATGATTCACATGAAATAAACAAAACTGGTCTAGATTTACACGAGATGATAACATATACATGCTGCCACAATTTTTTTCTTGTAGTGAGAGGTTACCTGCGGACAGATGATTCCCCACCTGAAAATTTTGTGGCAAATGCATATGACTTTGACAAACAATAGATGGAGCTTATTTATCACGCAACACCATCTTAATAATCACACCATAGCAAATATTTGTCCGCAACCAGTATAATAAAGAAATTAAGTGATGACAGCTAAATCTCTGCAAGAAACACAATTTGATACAAGGATATAAGCAATGGCACTGCAGATAGAAAAGAGTTCACGACTGCAACAGACTTAATTTTAGTGGCAAAAACTACTATTCAAGTTATTATTGCAGAAATGCTTTTAGAAAAAATGTAGCTCCTGCAAGATATGTTAATTTCTGATTTTACAATCAGGCACTATTTGACTGACACCCACAATGAAGTTTGGCAGATCTTACATTCAGGCACTGTCTGACTGACACCCACAATAAATATATATGGACCCAAAAAGTGTTTCTGGTCAGCCGACTGCGTATAGTTTTTGTTGCTGACCCTAGTACTTTTCTCCCAATGGGCTATAAATACAATTTCCCCCCAAAAAACTGATTTTACTAAAATTTCACTTTTCAATCCAAGGAGTTTAACTAAAATAAATGTAGTCAATTAATACATAATCAAAATTTATCCTTTCCGACCCAACAGATTTACTAAAATAAATGTAGTCAATTAATATATAATCAAAATTTCACTTTCCAATCCCAATGATTTACTAAAATAAATGTAGTCAATTAATACATAACCAAAACTGCACTTTTCAATCCAAATGATTTACTAAAAAATGTAGTCAATTAATGCATAACCAACATTTATCTTTTCCTATCCAACAGATTTACTAAACTAAACGTAATAAATTTTAACCAAAAGTTCACCTTTCAGTCCAACAGATTTACACTGATAGAATTATTCGCAGTGTTTAATTTACATCATTTTACAAGTGGTGAAATGATAAGTACAATTTCACGTTTGACAGCATCACCTGACGTCTGTCTTGTTTTGTCTTGTTTTACGTCTAATATATATATATATATATATATATATATATATATATATATATATATATATATATATATATATATATATATATATATATATATATATATATACTATGTGCGTATTTAGATTAGCGACTAGAATAAATTTTGACATAATCTTATCTTGACAATTAACTGTCCTTAAAGATTTCGGTGTTTCGGTAAGGTACACCATTAAAGTTAGTGTAAATGACCTTAGCCAGACAGTTCATTGACCTCGCCGCATGGTATTGATTTGAAATTACCACCTGCTCTCTACAAATAAAAGCGGCCGTATATATCAGCATGTATTACTATACGTCTTATTTACCTTTGATAATAAATTATTTTTAATAAAATAAATGTTCAATTACTTATGAAATAATATGCACTAAATCTAGCTACAGTAAATAATAACCTGCAAGATCATTTAAGCATAGCGAAATCATATATAAATATACACTTGTCATTAACGATATCATCCTACACAGGAAATAAGTTTATGTAATCATAAAAAATACGACACATTGAATACTATGGTTAATTCATAAATCCCTATGTAATACTGCATATTTGCATTCTTTGGGTTACATCAAAATTTCCTAGAGGATTTAACACACTGAATATTTAATTACATGCAATCCTCCCAATTCTTACAATGAACTAATAATTGCTAAATTAAAGAATTATTTTGCTAAATTTTAACATATCAACAGAGTCTTACGAAATGAAAACACGATACATGCGTGAATCATAACCAAATCAACACATTTGCAGAAAACCAAACAGATGAAATAGAATATTGTAGGAAAAATAAAAAACTTAATGCAGTTTCTTTCTACATAACTCGTGCGACAAAGCACTACAACATGTCTTCCATTTTAAGACCACTATCAGGCCTTTTTACAAGTTTTTCAAGTTTTTCAAGGAGTTTGACCTACTGTCTTCTCACAAGGCAAGAGTCAAACTAAAGACAGCTGAGCAACTAGTACCCTAAATTCACAGTCTCCTAAAGTGTGCGACTTAAGTTTTTCTGACCAATCAGAAGTAACTGTTCCTAAAATTCTCCCCAAATAGTCATGTCTTTTATCAGATTTTACCAGCCTAAAATATGCTGCAATTATTTGACAGGAAGTCCTCTTCCAACCGATACGGTCGGTAATTATATTTACACAGTGTCACTATACCGTTACAATGGCTCATTCAATTCCACTGGAGCTTAAGCATAAACCCTTTTATGTTTCAGAGATGAAATAAGAAAGATATCAGTTAATGTTCTCAAAACCTTTCTGGCTTGACTATAACAACTTCAAAGCACAATTTTTTCAACCCTAAGTTTCAATAAGTCTTCAAAATTTGCCACATTACACAGTGTGTCATTACACTGTCTTCATCCCGCCTATCCTTATACACTGACTAATTGTTTTTTCTCTGCCTTTGTCTACATTGCTTGTCTTCCTTACGCATGGATTCTATGTATATCCCCATCTCCATTTCCATCTTGAACTTTTGTATATCCCTGTTACCATCTCAATATATTCCCTTCCTTACACACTGACTGTGTATATCCAGGTTTGTCTCCTCACACTGACTGTGCATCTCCCTGTCTCTGTTTCCATCTCTCGCTTTCCTTACACACTGACTCTGTGTATCTATATGTCCCTGTCTCCATCTGTGGCTTTCTTTACAAAACCTACTATGAATATCTCCCTGTCTCTGTCTCCATATCTCGCTCCTTACACACTAACTATTTGTATCTCTCAGTCTCTGTCTCCATCAATCACTTTCCTTAAATACGGACTCTATGTATATCCCTGTCTCCATCTCCATTTTTGGTTTTCCTTGCACATTGACTCTGTCTCTCCCTATCTCCGTCTCCATCTCTCGCTTTCCTTACACATTTGATTTATGCATATTCCAATCTGTTTTCTTTTATAACACTGACTTTGTGTTTCTCTCTGTCTCCGTCTCCATCTCTCGCTCTCCTGACACATTGACTCTGTTACTATGTCTGTTTCGCTTTTCTCACATTGACACTATGTATCTCGCTGTCTCTGTCTTTATCTTTCGCTTTCTTTCCTTAATGACTCTGTATCTCCATCAATCGCTTTCTTTACACACTGACTGTGTATCTCCTTGTCTCCGTCGCCAAATCTCGCTTTCCTTGCACACTGACTCTGTGTCTCCATGTCTCTCTCTGTTATTCGATTTCCTTACACAGTGACTCTGTGGATCTGTTTGTCTCTATATCTCGTTTTCCTTATCCACTGACTCTGTTTATCCCTGCCTGTCTCCATATCTCACTTTCCTTACACACTGACTCTTTATATCTCATAGTTTCAGTCTACATCTATCGCTTTCCTTACTCACTGACTGACTTT